GCCAGCGACTAACCTCTTGAGCTATGGCGCGCCCCTTCCGAGTGTACAGTAAAGGACAGAGATCCACTTCTGGGTAACGGAACAAGCCCCTTCGGGGAGTTCTACATGTTGGGTAACATACGCCCTTGAACCCAGAGTCCTCTAGCGTTTCTTCTGCTTCCGCGTATTGCTGCTGGGAAGCACCGAGTCTGCCAAGACTCGACCGCTGTTATCTAAAGAAGGAAAGTTCATAGGATCAATGTTAGTCAGTGTTTCTGAGAAGAACAGCCACTTGCGAATTCATAATAACAAGTTCTGCTTATAAAGTTTATGACCTGATAATTCTTTCGAATGCCTTTGTCTCTCCAACGGGGAATTACCGCTCGCTCATGCAAACAAATGCATCGTGTGACGAGTGGAGCAGAGCTTTATATAACGTCCGCGCGGGTGCAGACAAGTCAGACCACTTGTGGCACACATCAGCAGCATCTGGTAGACACTGGTCATCTTTCTGCAGGTAAGTTCCAACATCTTGGGGTTCACAATTTGCTTGCCTGGTTTATCACAAACTGCAGTCTCATTGGTGCTTACAACTCTACCGCCTGTACCGTCAAGGTGCACCCAATGACAGGCGGAACGCCGGTACCAGACTACAAGGAGTCACATCTCCATAAGAATCTCAAATCTCACATCTCACTTTCGCCTTCCACGTGAAAATTAAAAACCTGTTATGTACGGGTGTGCAACTTGGTTTATTATATTACGGGAACACTACAAATAAGATGGATTTGTGATGAAGGTGCTTAGTGCATTTACAAATGTACCTGTACCTGAAAGGGGGGGGGGTAAATAACGGGAGGTCGATGAAAAATACATGAGCAGGAACTTCGTAATTTTGCTTTTCACTAAGCATTATAATCAAAGAATATGTGATGAGCGGGGTGTGTAGCACGAATGGGAGGAATTAAAAATGTAATGACCGAAGGGAAAAGATAAATTGGAAGAGAGGCGTACATAATAGGATATTATTAAAATGGATTTTTAACAAACAACTAAGGAGGGTGTTGTCTGGATTCATTTGGCTCTAGATAGGAATTAGTGGCGCTCTCTTGTGGACACGGATAAGAACCTTCAGGTTCCATAAAATGTATGGAATTTCTAGAGTAGCTGAGCTATACCAGCTTCTCAGGAATGGAGTTGGTTGGTTAGTCAATTAGTGTGTCCACCGACACTGACTCAGTTTGCAATGGGAAGGAGGTTACGTCATCTTGAGTTAATGACTCAAACCGTTACGTCATCACTAGAGTAACTGCATTCCGTATCGAACATAGAGCAAACCCTCGCTAATCCGGAATAATGAAGCAAAAGATAGCCCCAAAAGACAAGAAAAGTAGAAAACAAATAAATGGAAAATTTAATAATGTAGGTAGTGACGATGAAAATAAATACAAAAATATTACTGCAGCAATTTCTTCCTCTANAGTTTGCAATGGGAAGGAGGTTACGTCATCTTGAGTTAATGACTCAAACCGTTACGTCATCACTAGAGTAACTGCATTCCGTATCGAACATAGAGCAAACCCTCGCTAATCCGGAATAATGAAGCAAAAGATAGCCCCAAAAGACAAGAAAAGTAGAAAACAAATAAATGGAAAATTTAATAATGTAGGTAGTGACGATGAAAATAAATACAAAAATATCACTGCAGCAGTTTCTTCCTCCGTCAGAAGCTGAAATCCAGGGTTTCCTTGATCCAGCTGAAGTCAATCTTGGATATTTGCTTGCGCGGTTTCAGTCTCCAGCTGCCCTCAGCACAGTCTGAAAGTCCTCTCGCTCCTAAATCCCATGTCTTTTAAAGTATGTACTCAAATGCGAAGAGAACTGTTCATTTTTCATGTTTCGATCCGGATTAACTCTAACTGAATTAGCCAGGGTTTACCGTACTTCCGGTAGGAAATTCAGGCACACTTATATGGGATTTTTCTTCCGTAAGGTTGCCTACACTAGATATGACGTGCTCAGGTTTGTAGGGTGGATGCACTCTCTCGGGTAAGGGTCTGTAATTGCCCGTACCTATGTATCAGTGTCATTTCACAGCGTAAGGGCGTTCATAATTGCAAGCGACAAGATACGTGACGTCACTGTTCGTATGTTCCGTCTGAACACAAAACTAATTTGCTGCATCTTGTTCCAGAAGCCCGACGGAACGTGACAACATGAATCTCCCAGCCAGCGTCGCCGTTTTCACCTGCCTCGTCTGCTGCCTCGCCCTCTCTCCGCCAGCCCAAGGGCTGCCAACCGAACACGTACGTATGTACAGCCGAGACAGCACCAAAACTGAGTTCCGATTTTCAAGGCGATGTGATGTAGTTTCGTGGCCGATTGCCGACGTTTCGGAGGAACCTGCTGTCTCCAAGTGCAGACTTCTAATCTGAAACTAAACGGTGAACTGGCCCCTGGAACCTCATATGTTCTGACATCAAAACGCGAAGTTAAGCAGGGAACGACTGCAGGAAGCATTTGTGGTTTATTTAACGACGCTGTTTCTTCTGAGACTCCTATAGCGTCAAGTGGTAGAATGATGAATAGTGAACTGGAAATTTGAAAGCACTGAGTGGCGGTAAATTTAAAGTTAATGTGACTAATTAATTAACCACCTCGCCATGAAGACGTATCGGGGAGTAGAGGATCCACGTATTCTTGCCCTCAGTACTACATGGAGGTGATGGTCAGCTTTACTGCCCGGTCGCTTTACCCTCAGGGAAAGAGCCCGCAGTATCCATTGTGTAGGAGGCTGGGTGTCTTGCTCCAGCTGGGAATCGAATCCCGGCTGCCGAACCCGTAGCCCTTCGCAGTACCGACTGAACTACCCCGGCTCCAGAAGGAACTGAGTAAAGTCACAGAATCCTCATGCAGAGCAGTTGGTATCAAGGTCAGGATTCGAAGGGTGCTCCTCAGGATTAGAAGCCAGACGCGTTTCAGCGCGATTCATCTTCTTCAGTGCTGGAACGGCGTGCCCCAAAATGTATGCATTTTGTACCTCGGGAGTGAGGGCCTCTTGGAAGACTGTGCTGTAGAGTGGTTGATAATATTAAAATGTATGTAAGATGGGATGTTGAAATGGAATCTCGGTCTTCGATCCTGTAAGCATACACTATCCTCGTCCAACACGGACAAGTTCATACGAATTATTGTTCTCACTGTTTCAGGGCGAACGTGTGCGCCGTTCATTGTTGCCGAACCCGCCTGCGCCCTCCCCTCAAGGCAAGGGGAATGTTGATGTGAACATTCACAGGGAACGGGGCGTGGGCACAGTGGTCAGTGGGAAGGCAGAGGGCAACATCTACCGCAGTCCAGACGGCAACACCCGGGTTGACGCTCACGGTCACTGGTCCCGTGTGTACGACGGTCCGGCGCGCGGACAGCGGGAACACGGCGCGGGCGTCCGTTTCTCACACAGCTGGTAAAGCAGCGACGCAGTGCGTCTTTCTAGTCTCACAAATTCACACGTCTGAAGATACCCAACGCTGCCGTAAAGTTGATAACACTTGTGCTTGTTATACGTGAAGTTCCTTGGTTCAGATCTCGTTCCTGAGATGTGTTATCCTGACTAAGAATTTTGGTGGATTTACTCAGTCGCTCCAGGCAAACTCCCGAACAATATCCCAAATTGGTCACGACAGCTTCGTTTCAAATCCCTTCCAATTCATTATTTTGTAATCGTCTTACCGTTCAACGCTGTGTAGTGTGAAACACGGACCTGGCTCGAAGTGACGGTCGGCTGGAAAGCTGGCAACACAACCACCACAGATATGTGATATCGTGTCAGCTGGCCACAGGAGGTTCCCTGTTGGCTGAAACTCTGTTTCCTTTGTGTCTGCTGACTGACAGCGTGTGTACATTGTTCACTGTACGATTTGGGCGGCTTCTGAAGTTAACGTAGATAACACAGTAGTTGGGTGTTCACGGAAAATGAATCTGCTAAAATTTTCTCGGGTATAACGAGACCCCGATGTTGGGGAAATAGTAATTCTTCGAAACGTATGGCTATTAACCTGAGAAGATTTTAGTAAATATGTGATATTCATTTTTAAAAACGCTGTATTTTCCGTATACTGTAATAATTTCATATTATTTTAACAAAAATGTCCACCAAACTGTATAAGAATATTACTGTCAAATAACATCATGAAAGGAATAAAAAAAACGTTACTTTGTTAATTTCAGCTTAGTTCAAATAAATGTGTGCCCCACAAGACTGCATACTACATCCTTCACCCCTCTCCCTGCGGCGCACTCTCAGTGCACTAAGTGCCGCGCATGCGTGAGCCGCGTAGTTGGGATGCAGCCAGAAGTGTCGCACAAATATAGTGTTTACCGCGCTCATCTTTCCTTGTTCTTTTCGACTTAAATTTTTTGCAAACATTTTTATGGTGTTATGCCATCTACATCCCCTACCCATCTCGCTCTGGAAGTGTTGAAGTGTATGCATTATCAAGTTCCTCATTACGCGATTAGTGTGAGTTTTCCGTAATTCTTAAAATGTTCTACCCTGAAGAATGAGGCAACAGGCTTCTCTGAACTTTGGTGTCTCACAACCAGAAGACAAGTAACGCTAACGAAGTTCATTCAGACAAGCTATGAGATCAGTTCACGGGATGTTCCGTACGTGCCTCTACCCAGCGAGATGTCAACTTCCAAGGGTTGGCAGTACCGTGTCCTCATAACGCATTCAAAACCTCATTTTTATGCCATTCTACACACGTCTCTAGCTGTTCCCCTCTCTGGCCTCAAAGCATACGTAATCAGATCGAAGAGTTTGATAGACTCAAAGGGNGGGGGGGGAATAGCCTTGAAAAACTTAAAATTTAGAAGAACAAAAACTATAATAAATATTAATTCCAAAAAGGGAAAACTATTTTTTTAAATTATTATTTTATCCTGAATAATCCAGGAGGGGGGTTCAATAAGAATAGTTTAAACCTGTTTAGACCCAAGTTTAGAAGCAAATTTATTCCCCCCCCCCGAGTACATAACGCGGCAGCGTACAGGCTTCCACTGCGAGACATATATTGAGCCATATCCACTTCCTGCCTGTTTCACCTTGAATGTTCCGACTGAAATATACGCCGAAACGTTTGAACAACTCTCTACACGACGATGCAGCTAAACTCAGATGGCCTACAGCACGTTACGGTAGAGACCGAGAAACAATAACGACAAGAAGTGCCAGATTTGACTGTAAAACAACCATTGTTATTGGTTGTTGGCACGAAACCTTGTTTTCTGACCACGTTTGTTTGTGCTGTGCGTGATATGATAACTGGAAGCCACGGACATGCGTTCTCCTTATCGCGTCCGTACGCGGGGCGCCCGTGTCACCGTTTGCGTAAGCACACCAGCTTACCGTTGTAGCGTAGGCTGCGATGGTGATGTCAGCAGTTCTGCGCAGACGCACTGCATTCTTTGGGAGAGCCTGTGTAGAGCTTTCGGGTGCTGCTGTTTGATTTCATCGAATATTAACCATTTCCATACAGAGAATGTGAACAGAAAGACAGTGCACCTTTAACGTCTTTGTTGTAAATACAGATTCAGAGACTTGTATTTGAGAGGCATTCGGTTCGATTCCTGGACGGACACTAACTATACAGACTGAGGACGTTTGTGGATTTCCTCAATCCATCCAAGCAAATGCTCTCCGCCTCTTCCTGCATTCTGCTTGTCAGCCTAACACTCGACACTATACAGCCCGATTTACTGGCAGGATCGTGTAGCACGCATGGGGACAAGCGGAATGTTTACAGGATTTTAATGGGAAAACCAGGAGGAAAGAAACCTTGATGTATGTGGGAAAACAATATTAAAACGGATCTTAGATAAATATGATGGGCCTGCATGGACTGGATTCATCTGGCTCAAGATAGGGACCAGTGGAGGGCTCTTGAAAACAAAATTTTGGAAAGTTATTGAGTATCTGAGAGACTCGACTCCATAGAGTTAGGTTTATGCATGCCGTAACCGTTTAGATTTAAGTCTGTTTCCATGTGCTTGAAGGCCAAATAGTTGAGCCAGAGAAGACGTCCATTGATAAGCAACGCCTTAGTAAACAAGTTCCCACAGCAACGAATACGCAAACAACGATGTTATGCAACCCGTTTGTAAGCAACGGATCGGTGAACACGCGTCTACAATAATTAGGTTACTGTTGGAAGCAGTGTTTTCTGTCCAGTCCGTGCAAAGTGTTTATAAAGAAGACAATTGGGGCAATACAGAGAGATGAGTGCTGGGCATTGCCTAACAAGAGCTGTTTCTCTAGTTCCACAGTTCTTGCTTTGAGTTAATACGCCACAGTATCGTCGAATGTTAGAACGTATAATGAAGTGTTGGTTTCATGTTCTAACTTGAGGTATAGTTAGTGCCGCGCGGAAAGGTAAACGCTGTTGTGGAGCACGCGAAGCTTTATGTTTGCTGTGGTGACGTTCATAGCTACTCCCCGAGCGTAAACATTGCCTACGGAGACCAGGAGTAGATCACAACGCACTATACAACTGACCACTCTCCAAGACGCTACATTCCAAACTGGTAGTACTCACGCTGACGTAAGCTGATAAGACTGCTCCCCCAGCTCCGCGAGAGGTGGTATGACCCCTCTGCCACGACTAGGGTTCCGAGGAGCTAACAGTACATTGAAGGCATTTCAGTAGAGGGCCCAAGAAAAACTGCTAGAAAACTTCATCAGAACAATTGGAATCCTGACAGAGATTCGAAGTAAACGTCCCTCGGATATAAGTCACAAATGTTACCGCCTGAACCCACTTTCTGGGCCATTCGCCCCAAATGGCAGAAGAAAACCGCGGAGTACATGAATCGTGGCAACCTGCAGCAGAGCTGGCCACGTAGAAGCTCTCACCTGTCTAGATTCTTTATTTCATCAATGTTCCGCCCCTTAATATAAAGCTCCCACCACTCCCGGCCTCACTCCCCTTACGCGCAACCGAGCGGCCACGACTAAAAAGACGGACTGTAGTTAAATTTTTCTGATGAAAACGTTTTTTTTTTCTTTCGGAACTTCTGCGATCTTCGAGTTATAATCCCCCCCGACTGACATCTACATTTCATTTGACTGAAACAGACGTTTATTTCCCATCACCGGATTTTAAACGCGACGCAAAGCTTTTATTTCTTTGACGTCAATGTGAAGTCGGTAGAAGGTCCAGGAAGGAAGGGGGGAAGTTGCAGATTGCAGGCCGGAGGAGGATTCAATATATCCTGGGCTTAATCTTCTGATATACGGCCATGATTCTACTCGGGATCCTAGTCCCCCCTTGTCAAAGTTTCACAATGCCCTGAACGAAATAACAGATTTTGTTCAACACACAAACACAATACAAAGGAAAAAGAAATCACCGAAACACATGTAACCAGAACCGCAACAGTTAAAAACTTTAAATCCCAGTGGTTACTACATGCACCACCTGCTTTAACATACCAAAATTCTGCATTCTGCCCACAGAGTGTATCTGTGTTCCGTACGGTTCTCACAGTAAACAGCGACTGTTTTCCTAAACAGAGTTAACCGGTTGGGTTTTGTAGTGGAGCCGTACTGTGTTCCCTGTGAGGTACGGACTGAATTCTTATATATACTGCATTCTGCCCACAGAGTGTATCTGTGTGTTCCGTACGGTTCTCACAGTAAAGAGCGACTGCTTGCCTAAACAGCTGTAACCGGTTGGGCTCTGTAGCGTTACGTAATGTTTCCTGCTGCCCACAGAGTGTATCTGTGTGTTCCGTACGGTTCTCACAGTAAAGAGCGACTGCTTGCCTAAACAGCTGTAACCGGTTGGGCTCTGTAGCGTTACGTAATGTTTCCTGCTGCCCACAGAGTGTATCTGTGTGTTCCGTACGGTTCTCACAGTAAAGAGCGACTGTTTCCCTACACAGCATTAACCGGCTGGGATTTGTAGTGGAGACGTAATGTGTTTCCTTTGAGGTACGGACTGGATCTTGATATATTACAAAGAAGAAACTAAATCTATAAATGTTGCAGAATTTAATGGGGCTGAGTCAGAGGAAGGCAGAGTAATGGTCATCACAAGAACTGTATTAAAACTCATGAGACAAAATTACCGTTAGATTGCATATACGGTAAATACGAAGGCGCTGGCGAGGGTCAATAGCAATTGTAAACGATAGACCCGTCCTCTCGTCAGAGAGGGCGCCCCACATGAAGAAGAACACAACTGTCTGAATATCTCGTCTTGGGCCCCAGATGCGGCTTTACACAAAGACGGACTGGCCGACTGACCGTCGGTCGTAACAGAACTTGAGTTAGACTTTAAAGGGTTCCTCACTATATCTCAAAAGGAAGTCTAATCTACCGGAGCCAGATCACGAGTGTTCGAGCGCTTTTACGTAAAGACCTGGAAACAACCTTCACTTGAGTGCGTTACGACAACAGCTCGTTGCTAGCCGACAGTCAGCGCAACAATGGACTGACGAGAAAGATATCACGTGACGTGTTCTCTGTGCGGTCTGCGTCATCAACCATAGAATTGTGTCTCCTATGATGTCCGTGCTTCGGCTATATAACGTTTTCGTTTTGGTACCAGGAGAGACCAGAACACGACAGAAGGCGGAAGAAGAAGACGAAGTGACTCGGCAGCGAATCAACGTGCTTTGGAAAATGAAGCAGAGCTACGCAGAGAGGGTTCGTTATCCAGAAGAGTTGGGTGTGTGAACTGTTATAACAGAGTGTGATTGTAAAGGCGCGTCCACGTTACTCGTGTTCGTGTCGTGTGACTCGCTATGCTCGCGAGTAATGTGGACGATATGACAAGTCACGAGACAAGCAAATTTTAAAATGTTAATTTAAAAACTATAGCCAATAAATTAAAATACCACTACAGCCTATACACACTACGAGTAAATATACGGATCCTCACACGCCGAAGCCTGGCGAGCAACTGAAGTAGTGTGAACGAAGATTTACGAGCACAAGTAAAAGCCAGACGAGTCTCCCGACGAGCACAAGCCTGGCAAACACGAGCACGAGCACGAGTAATGTGGACACACCTTAATAGTGGCGTCAAATAAATCGATTCATGAATCGAGAGAACCCACTAATTACTTGTAGCGTTACCAGGACACGTGACAATAACTTCTATTTTGACTTGGAAATATTTAGATTTATATGTTGCTTATTGAGCGACGTCAGTAACTCA